CTTGCGCGGAATCCATTCATTTTTGGGATGCCTTGGTGACCTGAACATGATATCAAAAACTATATTGTCTCGATTTTTTTTTTATATATTTTTTTAATTATTGTATAGATTATCAAGCCTGACCATGTACTTACTGTGGATAAGATAAAAACTTTCCATTGTTGTTGCACTGTGACAAATGCATCTTTTATTATTGGTAATTGGTCACCAAATTTGATTTGCTCGATTACTTTCTTTACCAGCATCAAGATAACTAATGTAATATGTTGACCTGGATGTTAAAACTATTGGAAGACTAATTACGTGATACAACAATTTGATGGTTCCTTGGAATCCTTCAATATCGCTTTCAAAAGAGTGTAAATTGAATTTTTTAGGTCATTCGAAGACACTTTTGAGAATGTTTAGAAAGAGGTCATTCTTTGAGGTCATAGTTTCCTCTCCAAACCAATTGAAGACATTGGGAAGAAGTTGGATCTTGAATTCTACCTTCACAAAACTAGAGGAAATGTGTCTCATGGGCCACGGCTCAGCACATGAAAAGTGTGGTTTGAATGGGCACCTATATGTAACAATTATATTGAGTAGAATTTGACTTAAGAGGAAATGTCGTCTAATTGATTATACATTCACAAATTAATCATTAATTTCAGTTCAATCAAGAATGTTTGCATCCCATCCCATCTTTTTGGTTTAACAATTTTACGAAATTAGTTTTTTATTAAGTACAACTCTTTCCATATAATCCCATTCGTAAGATAAATCATCTTAAAATCAATGACGTTTCTTCATCACAATATATGTAGCCTTCATCACAATATAGTTATTTGAAATCCAATTTATGGCCATCCAAGATCCATCTTTAAAAGAATTTAGCTCCCGTTTGACCCTCATTCTTTTTAAATTTTAGTGGTTGGAATAATGTTTTTTTTAAAAAATATGTGATTGAAAAAGAATGAAAAATTTTTAATTTACGTGTAATATTATTTTATGAAAAATTGTATGACTAAAAATAAAAGAGAGAAAAAAAAATAGGGGAATGGAGGCCAGACGGAGGCTTAATATAATCACAATAAAGATAAAGGTCATTGCACTTTTTACTTTTTGTAATTCAGGCATCAAAATCTACTAAAAGAGTACAATGAAAGCAGTAAGCACTGACTGCCTACATATGACGTATATAACATGCCATGTTGCAAATCCAATGTCAAATTTCCTCTTCTTCTTTACAAGAGCACGTTCTTCTCCATGATGGAGTCGCCGAGAAAGAAGATATGATTCTTATTTTTGTTTTTAAGAGTAATTTAATTAAAAAAGACTACAAGAAAAACAAAATTAGGAAACTAATAATCGGTTTAAATAAAACCTGAACAATAAGTAGACCTCCCTTTCCCCTCCATTTTCTTTCGGAATTGTTTGTAACTGCTGCTGCTTCTTACGCGGCGGTCTTTTTCAATTTTCTCTAGTTCGACCCACTTCCTCCATTTTTTTCCCACCTTTCCTTTGGGTGAATTAAACAATGTGTGCGCGGAATTTTCTACGTCAGCTTAAATCCAACTAAGCTTCTTCGTGATTTATTTTACTCAAGATCGACTCTTTAGAATCTCACAATTGAAATTTGTCGAACATAGAATTATTAAAAAGAAAAAAACAAGAGAATCAGAGTGTCAGAGTAGTCCAATCCAACGATTCAATTTTGTATCTTTGGAAGCTTTCCAGGTGTCTTTTAACGATCTTTTTCTCAGAGACATAGAAAGAGAGACCGGTGGGAAAGAGAAAAATCATAAAAAGGATCTAGAATTATAATAAATATATGGAAAGCATACTGGGTTGGCAATTACTTTTTCTAGGTGGAACAGCAACATGGATCGTGTTTTCTTCAATTCTCAATGTGACCCAGAAACTCAGATCTCTTACACAGCCATGGGTCTCTCACTATGTATTGTCTGGTACTTCCATTGTTCTCAAGATCCAGGTTCGAATATGCGGGCTTGTTTATCTGAAGAATATGTATTGAAAGATTGATTTTTATGGGGTTTTTGGAATGATTTTGATTTGATTTTGTTGGGTCCTGCAGAAATACGAGCATAGATATTTGGATGCGTTCTTTTCTGGGTTGTCTTGTGTAGTTTCTGTGCCTTTCTACACTGCCTTTCTTCCCTTGCTCTTCTGGGTTTGTTCTCAATCAAGGCCTCTCAGATCTACATTTGTGTTTGTCTGTGTGTTTCTCGTATTGACCACCATAGATCTATTAAAATTATTTATTGAGGGAATTAATCATTAATGTTGTTTTTCTGGGTTTTATATTGTAGAGTGGACATTGCAAATTGGCTAGGCAGATGACTCTTTTAATGGCCTTTTGTGATTATATGGGAAATTGTATAAAGGTACTCTTTTTCTCCCTATTTTAATAATTGCGGGTATAATTATCTATTTCTATGCATAATTTCGTATAAATTAATTTCACTCCTGTTCTGCAATTTTGTTTTTACCATGTTTCATAGGATGTGGTATCAGCACCCAGACCAAGTTCACCACCTGTTAGGAGAGTAACGGCCACCAAAGATGAACAAGAAAATGCAATGGAATACGGATTACCTTCTTCACATACTCTTAATACCGTCTGCTTATCAGGGTATGGATTCTCTCTCTCTCTCTCTCTCCCCCCCTCCCCCTCTCTCCTTGTAGCCTTTTATGCTTCTGGTTGAACTTTGACGGAACTAGCTAAACAATCGTAATGCATTCAAGGTGCACATACCACTGTGACTTTAAGTTGTGTCTCCTTGAGAGTGTACATGAAATACTCTACGAAAACCACTAACTTATTCTCAACACACTGTGAGGGTGCATATGAACTACTTATGCAAGGTCATAAATGCAGAGTTATAGTACAGCTACACTTTTCGTGCAATTAGCTTCATTGTCCAGGCAAAAAATGCATGTGTTTATGTGCCAATATATGTTCTAAATGTTAAAAAACTATCACGATGTTCTAATTTTAGCAAATTTGAGCTTTAGAAATCCGAACCCATATGTAATAGGACATGATTTGTCTCGTGCCTCAGCTTTTCAATGCTTTATAAAAACTTAAATCTCAAGTTTTGTTTTGGGCCACCAGGTACTTGTTACACTACATATTGTCCTACTCTGGAAGTGATGATGTCTGCAAAGAATTAATGGGGTTTTTCTTAGTTTGTTTGGTTGTTGGCCTTATTGGTGTGGGTAAGTTTCACTTTATTCCTTACGTTTTTCACTTCTCTTTTATTCACTTTATAATTCACTATTTATCCTGTTCTGAAAATTTTTATCTTGCAGGAAGAATTTACCTGGGAATGCACAGCTTGATCGACATTATTGGTGGTCTAGCTCTTGGATTGGGTATCCTGACATTTTGGCTTTCTGTTGATGAATACATAGATGATTTCGTAGTTTCAGGACAAAAGGGTAAGGATGCATGGCCTGTGCAGCATTTCATCTTTGAGTCGCAAATGTTGCTATCTTCATCTTAGCTGATGTCATGTCACTTGTGCTTGTGAATACTCTCGAAAGGTGGCAGAGCGGCTTCCTTATTTAATAAAGTCATAATATTCTTTTAATTTAGTAGTGAGTGTAACATTAATGTCTGATATTGGCAAACTAATGATTTGTGATAAAGTAAACAAAGTCTTACCAACTTGGTAAATCATGACTACATATGGGCAAAGCTTGACACGCTAAAGAGTATATGCGTAGTTACCTAGCTAATAGGTAACTTTTAATTTCTCTTACGTGAACAATGTTTCCTTATTCTGCTAAAAATAATTGGTCATCACCTTGCTATAACCGGTACTTACGAAGACTTATTTTGCTATCTCATCTAATTTGACGACCCTCTTCTGCCATCCTGACTGTCAAACGACATCGCACTTCTTCCATTTGCATTTCCCAGTTGAACATGTATAGGTTGTGTATACTATTGTCTCTTGTTTTATCTATCGTAGGTATCTGCTTAACATTCCAATGAATGTGTGTAATTATCTTTTTCGAAAATAGTTTAAAAAAATTACATAGGCAGCAATAGAAGCAACATGTCCATGAATGTATTTATTTCTAGCTGAAATATATTTTGTTTTGTGGTGATTTATCTTAGAATTGTATTTCTACCCTTCCTATAATGTTGATATGTTATCTCTTAAGTTAATTTGCTTTCTGTCTTAGAGTCTGTATAATCTTCCTTAAATTTCAGAATGTATACCTATTGAATTATATTCTTATGCACTTTCCAAACATTCCACCTTGCTTAGTTCCAGCACATCACAGTTGAAGTATGTCATGTTAGCAAATGTTAGCCTATTGAATTGAATGTGCTCTAGTTCCAGCATCAAAAACATTTAGGAGCAATGAAATAGAACTGAAATACCAAGGATCTGAAACTTTGGATTTTGGACTTCATGGAAATAGTAAAAGTATGTTGAAAAAAATTACGACACAATTCAAGCTTTTATTGAAGAACATGGCGCCGTGGTATAATCGTGTCTGGAGTTGTAGTTTTATCAGTTGGACGTGTTCTTCGGTACTTGGTGTGCTTTGCCTTTATTGATTATAATCTTTAAGCATTTGATGAGTCTCTGATGCCTTCATATCCTTTTGTTGCAGTTACATCGTTCTGGGCTACACTTAGCTTCTTGTTACTCTTTGCTTACCCTACGCCAGAGCTTCCAACTCCAAGTTTTGAGTATCACACAGCCTTCGATGGTGTTGCCTTGGGCATTGTAAGTATATTTTTGCAGCTTATTATTTTGTAGCTGTTTTCGATTTTCAATTTAGTCATTTGTGTTAGCAGCAATAACGTTTTGACTGCAGAGATTTGTATTTTGCATGTTTCTTTTCATGTCTTGATGTTAAAATTTTCTTTTGCTAGAAGATATGAAGCATGAATGGACATCCAATTTTTTTAGATATCGAGTTTCATGACTTGTTCAACTTTTTCCAGGTAATTGGGATACAGCAAACATACCACCAGTTTCACCACGAAAATGTTGCACGCATCTTGACCCCTCAACTTAGGCTTCATGCTTTTGTGGGTAGAATGCTCGTGGGAATCCCTACAATACTTCTTGTGAAGTTCTGTAGCAAGGCGCTCGCCAAATGGATTCTTCCCATTCTGGCCTATACTTTGGGAATCCCAGTAAGATCAACTAGCTATATACCAGCATTAAATGGTGCTGGTAAAAAGTCGGATATAAAGCAGTCTGGCTATGCCCAAAAACTGCTCTTTTTCTCAAAGCAGACCTCATTTGATGTTGACACAGGCACAAGGCTTCTTCAGTATGCTGGTCTCGCCTGGTCTACAGTAGACCTCGTTCCTTCTCTATTCTCTCACCTAGGCCTGTGATGCTTGGCATGTGTCTTCATCATAAAGGAAATATCTTTTTTTTTTAGATTTTTTTTTTCCTTTTTATTTTTCGTTTTGCTGATTGTGAGGTGAGTTTTGCTATGTTGGGCAGTAAATAGAAAATATTGCTGCAATTTTTTAGGTCTATTGTTTAAAATCATTCTGAACTTTGATGGATAATATGCGATTATAAATGAAGATGATTGACTTCTGCGGTTATGCTACTGTTAATCTGGTAGACTTGGCTGATAAATACAACGTTTGGGAAGTTCTTAGAGGGGATTGTTTCTTGTTGTGTTACTTCTGATTCCAATAAATGATGTTTTCTTGTATTGTTTGGATTGAGGAGTAAGATTTACGCTTACTAGCTTTAGCATTTGATCATAACATCGACTACCTTGGAAACTGAATTCATGAAGTTCTAAGACAAACATGCAGCGTAAGTTTTCTCGAAGTTCAATGTAGAATCGAGGGAACTCGGGTGGTTATGGTTTATCATAGATGTACGTTCAAATAATTTGATGTTTAGGAAGTCTTCTATTTGTTCCATCTTATATGAAATTACAGTAGTGAGGAAGAGAAATAAGGAAGCAGTTCGTCTGCAGTTGGCTGCAGAAATTAACTACAGTTCCTTCGGCAGATGCCACATTAGTTTTGCAATCTGTGGAAAGTAGTCATTAGAGAAGTAATCTTTCCAATCTATGTTCTCAACATCAATCGAACTGATGTATTTCCTCCTTTGGCAGGAATCCCATCAGTCTTTTTGTGTTGCTTTTGTCAAAATTGTTTCTTTTCTCGAAGCAGACCTCATGTAACGTTGGCAGGGACAGAAGGCTCCTTCAATATGCTGCTCTTTCCTCTTCCTTCTCTATTCTTTTTTTCTTTTTCTTTTTCTTTTTCTTTTCTGTTTTGCTGTGTTCAGGCCCTTCAGGGTGGGGGTTGCCATGTTGTGCAGTATTAAACAGAATATATGCTATTTTTGTAGGTCTACTCTTTAGATTCATTTCCTAATTCGGAAGTATAATATGCGATTATAAATGAAGATAGTTGACTTTGCAGTTGTGTTACTGTTAATATGGAAGTTTTGGCAGACAGAAGAAAATTTTACTATTGTTTTGAGATTTAAGGTTCGAGGAAAGAATTTACATTAGCTTTGCATTTGATCATAACATCGACTGTTTATTCATGAAGTTTGAAGACAAGCATGCAGCCTAAGTTCCATGTTGAACCGATGGAACTCGGGCCGTTATGATTTATCATACACGTACATTTAAATGATAATACACTGGGAATAGGTAGGTGAGTGTTCTTTTCATCTAATCTTATAGCAAATTACATTAGTTAAGAAGAAAAAAGGAAGCAGCTCTTTTATAGTTGGCTGCAGAAATTCTTCCAGTGGAAGCCACTATATTTTCTCAATCATCTACGCTTTGTCACATACCTCCTTAATCCTGGAATGTGGACATTAGAGATATAATCTTTCCAATCTATGTTCTCAACATCAAATCCGAACTGATGTCTTTCCTCCTTCGAAATGTATCCCATCAGTCTTTTTGTGTTGCTATTGTCAAACCTGGCAGTATTTTTTATATACTTTATTGATATATTTGGTACACTGGACAGCAGTACTTGACATGATTAAGGAAGAAAAACATAAGAACAAAGAAGTGCAAATCTTAATTGTACCTTCCACCGTAGAAAGTGTATGGTTCATAAATATTAGCCAAGTATTTTGCTTGTTCTACTGATTTCCTGCAGATACTTTCGAGCTTCTGGGACAACTTCCCATCAAGGTTAGCCAAAGCTCCTAGTCCACTTCGTTTAAGTGCCTCTCTCCAAAGGTGAGAGGAAAAATCTTCCATAGAGCTGAAAAGCTTCATTGATGGAACTCGAATTGGCGACCCTGATGAGTCAGTGAATGGCGAGGAGTTGAAGTGTTCATAGAGCAATCTTGCCAAGTCCTTGAAAACTAATGGGTTCACGACAGAAGAAGCAATTTGATAGATATTGCTTTCAGATTTTCCAGCTGCCCCGTGCTTTGCCATGGCTGCCAATGTCGCATTGACCACCATATCAGCTGGAACCTAAAGCAAGCCATTTGTTAGATATGTTCCATAAAATAAATGCACTCTTCTTGTTATAATTTGAGACCTTACAATAAGAGGTTTGCTTCTTAATTGAAGGCGTAGAATTTACTTTCTTTCAAGTATTGTTTTCCATAGAAATTCTCGGGAGTTCCAAGTGAGAGACCAGATGATGAGGTGACTAAAGATCACCGGTTTATGAAGTAGAGTCGAGCTACTTACTACATCAATGACTCCATTGGGATCTACCAGAAATCCTGTAAGTTGCCCCTTTCCATAGTAGAGAATAATTGGATCCATCATCCTGGGGAGGAAAGGCTCTTCTTAATATCAAGGTTCATAATCAATATATATTATTTTTTTTTGGAATTGACACAAGATTCTAGTTTTTTCTTTCTTCTTTAATACTGTTCAGTACTATCAGTTGTTTAAATTTATCATAAAATTACCTGCTTCCTTCCATCCATCCAGGGAATGGCTCTTTGTATGTGCTCTCAATAACACTTGGTCTGATTATAACTACTGGTATGTCACCTCTCATGCTATCAATCATCATTTCTCCCATAGCCTTTGTAAATACATATGTATCTTGCCAACCGAATTTGTTTGCCCTGATAAATTCACCAGTTTCAGAGCATTGAAAATAGTCACTTCCCAAAAAAAGGACACTGCCATAGAGTACGGGATGTGCAAAAATTTTGACAAGGAAAAGAACAATAGATAGAAAATTTTCGTAGTGGGCGAGGTAAGCGTAGTTAGTACAACTTAGGACTTAGCAGCCAAAACTAAACCGGAGAAGTCAAATTTGAATACTTGTTACCTCTCTAAACCGAGTTCTTTCATTTTCTGGACGAGTACATTATCTTCGAGAGCCTGTTTTGATTCCAAAACTAACTTGATTTCATCCTCAACTTGCAACATAGGGAGGGATCTTTGTTGGTTTCCTAAAAGAACTCTCTCCATTGCTATACTATCTCCTAAGCAGAAAGGCTTCTCCATCACTCGTCCCTTTCGTTGCCCATTGACATATGCTGCATGCAATAAAAAAACTTCTCCAAAATGTTCTATAATCAACTTGATTGTGATTTTTTCAGACAAATCTCTTTGCAACCAGATATATAGATTTTGAAAAGATTCAGGTTCCTACTTCGAAATTGCTTTAAATACACACACACACACAAAATATATATACACATTTACTTGCCTGTGGATACTTGCACAAAGAGTTTAAGTTTCTTGCACTGTTTTGCAAAGCTCATGAGACGGGTAGGTCCACCAGTGTTTATATCAAGGGCAATATCATACCTGAAACTCAATTAGATCTTCGATGTGAAAATACTTATCAAATTTTTGTTTAAGATTCTCCTTATAATTGAAAATTTTATTAACCTTTCATCAAAAGTTGTGTTAGCTGCTGAATTTATGATTATGTCAACCTCTTTTCCCATCATATCAGCTATATCCCCATCAAATCCAAGATTAAATTCAGAGACATTTCCAAGAACAGGGACTAACTTGCTCAACATGAAAGCTTGATAAGATTTTCCATAGGTTTCTTTCAGACACTTGAAAAGTTCTGCATTGATGATCTATGTATGCAATACAATAATATCCAAAAAATAATTAATAATTGATAAAATAAGCTCGAAATTATTAATCATAATTCAATAAAAGACAATATTCATACTTCATTTTTCAATCTCTCCATTGCAGCTTCATTGTTTTTTGCCTTGATCAAGACAAATATGTTATGAACATCAGGTGCTGTCCGCAGTATCTTCTCGATAAGAACTGGAATTTATTCGTCAAGAAACAAAAGACTAAACATAAATTTAGAGACCATGATGTTCAGCTGTGCTTAAAAGCTGTTTCTCTGAAAGTATGTCCACACGTATTTCCAAGAAAAGCAATTTTTAAGCGTGGCCCAAGAAAAACTGGAAAATGACTTACCTTTTCCTAAGAAACCAGTTGCACCAGTAATGAGAAGGGATTTTCCTCTCAGAAACTTAACAATGCCAATAAAATTATCATGATCATCATGCCTATCCACCAGAGTAGATGAACCGCCGCCATAGGGTACCAAATCCTTGACTGCAATATCTGTAGCATCCTGGCAATTCCCATTTGGGGCTAAAACTGCATTGCCTGAATCCATTAACCCCCTTCCATCATCTGTGCTAATCACCATTGATTTTTCAATCAAAACAGAAGACATCCCACCTGATTTTAATGCATGATGACCACCACCTTGGTGGCAATACGCTATTTTCTGCTTATTCTTCAATAATTGCTTATTTTTATCAGCTACTTTTACAACCCTTTTTGATGCGACAGAGATAGAATTCAGAGACAAAGCATCCATTACTGCAGACGACAGGAACAAAAAGATAAAAAGAAATGAAAAACAAACTAATGCTTTGAGGTGAAAAGTTAGCTAGTATTTTTTTATGCTTTTTCCTTTTTTAAACTATTTTTGAGCGAAGACGAACTCGAATTTATTTTGGAAAGTCATCGTGGACAAAAGGCGCAGTGAAACGGGGAATAAGGTCGGCCGCAACCTGGCTTCTTTTGCTTCAAACTTACCTGCCATTCTGATTTATTTTTCATTTTAGATATACAGTAAGTTTGAGCCCCATTTTGATGGAGAAAATGAATTTTTAAATAATGTATTGATGTGAAATGTGTGGTTAAAAAATAAGGAAAAATTTTGAATTTGCGTATAATATTATTTTATTGAAGAATGTGTGATTGAAATTATCTCAAAACATTGTTGAAGAATTCATTTTTTCCAAAAAATGGGGATCAAACAAGGGCTCAATTATTAAAAATTCATAATTATACCAGAAGAAAGAGTGAGAATCATGGAACAGCTTGATGGCACGTGACTATATAAATGATATAGTGCAATACTACCTTAATTTATGCTACCTTAATCAAGAAGGGAGCATTCTTTCAACATTAATTATACAACTCAAGAAATTATTTTATGGATTATATTAGAGATGGAAGTGAAACAATTAACAAAAGAATATGAAATTCTTATACTACGATTTTAGGGGCTTAAATTGGTTGTGTATGTTGAAAGTTCTATGGCAGTAAAATACAACTAGCTATGATAATGAATCAATCTCCAACATAAAGCTTCTTTTCTATTGCACTAGTCAATGTTGAATGTACGTGTTACATTATTATA